AATTTAAAAATTAGTGTGGATTAAACAATTTAGCAATTAATAAAATAATTTACAATATGAATATCATAATATTACAATATAATATTATAAAATAAATTTTAAAAAAATATAAATGTAGTTTGCTCAAAAAATATTTTTTATATTTTTGAAATAGATATGAATGAAAATATACAAAAAATGAGAAAATTATCGAAAAAAAAATTTTGATTTTATTTTCGAAATTTAAATTATATCAATTCTTAATTAATATGTATTATTTTCAAACATATTAAAAAATATAAAAATCATTTATTATTCTTAAAGGAAGTAAGGAAGGAAAGTAAATAAAAAAATAAAGTAAAACGTTTCTGTTAAACAAAAAATGCGCATGATATGAACTTATTATTGAAATATTGAAGTATTTTGTAATTGATTATAGTAATTGATGAAGACTTTCTTATTAGTTCGCAAAACTGTGTAAAAAAAAAATTTTAATGTATAAAAGTTTTAATACAGTGATGATGTAATAATCTAAGTATTATAAAACTATTATGATAAATAAGCTTCTTACACTATATTTTAACATTTTTTCCAATTTTTTATGTCAAATTGATTAAATATAAAACTTTTTCTAAAATATTTCTCATATGGAATAAAGTAAAAGAATCACATAGTCATAATGCAAAATAACATAATCATGTTAAAATAAACATTTTAACATGAAATAGAATAAAATACTAAACACTAATAACATTAATAACAAAATATTAATAATAAAATAAAAAATTAAATTTACAACATTAAAATCATTAGATAGATTGAATAATAATAATTATTATTCTGATTTTTATAAAAATTAATTTCAGGTATTATTTAATATTGTAATTAATTGATTATAATTTTTTTATGTACAATCATTGATTTGAATAAATTTATTTTAAATTATAATATATATAAATAACATAATAATTATCGTATGATAATTGTTTATCTTTAAAATTATTCTTATTATTAGAATAGTAATTAAAAATTAATATTTTTTTAATAAAAAAAAAATAACATATTTATTTATGATTTTTATTCATGAAAAACTAAAACGTTTATATGTTTATGTCTGAATTTTTTTTAATTTTAATATTTTCCTTGTTACATTTTTAATTATCATATATATTTAGCATCATATATATTTATTATTTATCTTGATAATTATTTTATGTAAAATAATAGTTTTAAAAAAATAAGAATTATATAATTTTTAATGATTTTAAGTGAGTATTTTAAGTGAGTATTCCATTTTATCCATTATTTTGATGAAAATTATATTTCAATATCTTCTATAAAATTCTTTTTATAAAATTGTATTTTAACATGAAATCGTAACTAAATATTTTTTTTTAACACTAGATTTTATTTTCTTATAATCAAAGATCCACTTAAGATTTCTGCATAAAATATTATTTTTGCCTTTCATTTTTTTTTAGCAATCTAAAATTAAGTATTCCATTTTATCTTAGATATTAATAAACAAATCCATTCCCCTACTAATAAATTATATAAGAGTTTTACAATATTTTATAAAGTTATTAATGATATAAAATTAAACATATGAATATCTCAATTAATTTATTAAATTAAAAATTAATTTATTTCTATATTCTTACAAATTCAATATACAAAATACAAAAATACAAATTTTCTCTATAAATCAATAGTAAATAGTATATAACAAATTTTTTCATATCAATATTTGAACGTATTTTGTACAAAAATTCTCCATCTAACGATCGACGCTCCGTTTCAATAGTTAAACATCACCCTAACTTTCTACGGACCGGAACATCGAACAACCACGACAACCTTATCGCCAATACCATCGAACAAACAGCAATCGTTTTCCTATCCCTCAAATGTGAAAGTTGCTCGAATCGCATCTCGTTACACCCGAATCACCAAACCAACTAGCGAGCCGCATCCTTCAATAACATTTAACGTTCAGGGATCAAGCGCATTCGCTGTCACATACAGAGGAGGTATAGTCTATGTTGCCAACGAAGATCTACTCAAAACAGAACCATCTAATTTACTGTAAGTTTAGAATCTCTTCGTTATAATATATATAATTGTGTTAATTATTTATAAAAGGATACCATTCATTTCGATTTCAATGATTTTGATTATCAAGATTGTTATTCTGAACAACTTTTTCTTATGTGATTTTAGTTTTTCGAAATATTTGCAAAGTCTTTTAGGATTATAAATGAAGCGTAAATGATAAATAAAAATTGTGATAAGATTAAATTAGGGACTAATTGATTAGGCATAAGTTAATTAATTAATTAAGTTAATTAATTGTTACTAAAATATAATATTATAATAAATATAATATAATATTAAATATAATATAATAAATATAATATAATATTATATTTATATGTGCTGTACATATAAATATGTGTTATACATATTTGTGTGAAAATGAATGTATATAATAGAAAAAAATAACTTCTATTATGTTATTAGTTCTTAATATGATTATACATTATTGGAAAATTATTACCGTTTTTATCGAAAAATTGATTATATAAATAAATATTTTATGTTTTCAGTATAGTTACATTAGTATAAATATTAAATGAATCTTTTAAAGTTTATTACTGTATTTTTTTTATATATATATAAGTAATTTAAAATCATGAAAAACACTAAAAATGAACATTTGAAACTAATTGACTAATAAATTTCTACGTATTTTCTTCTCTATGTATATATCTAAATTTTATATTCACATTTTTCACATTTTTGTTGTTTTTATAAAATATTTTTTTAATTTATTATACTCATAATAATCAATTAATCCCGATCATACATCTAGTTGATTAACATAGAAAATACAAGAAAAACATTAAAATAACATTAATTAGATCATTTAATTATTTACTTATATAATCGAATGTATAAAATTATATTTTACTTATACAATTTATTAAAAATCAAAAATTAAAAAATTCACAATCTCCCCTAAATAATTAGTGAATTGATCAATGATCGCAATAAGAAGAATTGAAGAGAAGATCGAAAAATTTGATCCATATTTCAGGCTTAAAGTAAAATGGAACGGAAAAGATCGCACTTCCTCGAAGACTATAAGAATCAACTTGACAACGTCGAAAATGGATACGTGCAGCAACCACAAAATCACTCGATTGCATTCCTGCGCTAATGCGGAAACACCAGAGGACTGCGAATCCAGCTGCGGGGTCGCCAGTGGATTTTATAGGTGGCAATGTTTTCCTTTCCTTTTCTTTCACGTCAATGCAAACGAAATCCATTTGGAAAAAGCGTTATTTTCGTCTTCATTTTCAAATCGTTTTCAACGAAACACGGCTCTATAGATATTTTTTCACATCGATCCGCTTTTCAGCAGAGGCAACTTTTCCGGGCAATGCATGTGGAGATGGAACAAACGGTCGAATCAAGTTTCCATGATGTCCGATCATTATCCTACTTGCTCCCCGAATTTGTCGTATTGCCCCGACAATATGTGCGACGAGCTCGAACAATTGGATCCTCGGATTTGCCCACAGGATTGTACGATTGAACGTAAGTTTTTAATTTTTTTTTTTATATTTCATTAATATTGTGAATTTTAATTTCTTAATTACTTTATAAGTTATCAATAAGAAAATTGCAATAATTATTTTTATTGACTAAATAGAAAATTTTACGATGAAAATTTTTGGCACATATTTATTTTAATTCATATTGTGTTATTTCTGATGCAAAATTTATTTTTAAAAGATAATTTAATTCTAATTATTATTTAACAAGTAATATATTTCAATTGATATCATATTTTTTATCCGATTAATGAAAAAAATTCGAAATAAGAACAATATTAGATAATAAATTGAAATATTGATTATTTAAAGAAATAACGGAATAATTTAATTCTTGTAATAATTGTAAATTTGTTTTTGAAATAATATTCAGAATATCAAATGATATTGAATATTGAATGATAAATAAAGATAATGATATAAAATAATATAAGTAATAATATCAATAGGAAACAATAATAAGATAAATATTTAACATTGCATATTAAAAAAAAAAGTTATTTTTATCAAAAAATAAAATAAAATGCTTATTTTCATCACATCATCATTAAATTATTTATAATATAATAAATATTAATAAATAAATCTCAATTAATATTTTTGTATACCAAATATTATTTGTTTTAGCATCAATCGTTTTAATATTGTTATTTTTTGAAGGATTTTAGATATTTCATATATAAATCTTTTAAAAGATAATTACATTTTATCTGAAAAATTGTCAATTTTGAAATCGTTATTTCTTTATGAAAAAAAAAAAAAAAAAATTCTTTTAAAGAATAAAACACTTTACTTTCTTATCTCCATATTAAATTTCCTTAGTTTTGTACTCTATTTCTGAGTTGAAAAGAAAAATAGTGAAAATAGTTTTTTCTGTTTTCTTTAAAATAATAAAATTTTCAAAAATTGAAACAATTTTATCTTAAAAAATTTTTATTGTGATTCATTTCAGTTTTTTAAAAATTAATATATATTTTTTTTTTTACTTTTTATTTTATTACATTTCTATAAAACTTTTTAGGAAACTTGTTTAACTTGTTTTTTTTTTATAACTTCTTTATAAAATATGTAATAAAAATTTTTTAAAATTCATAAAATTATTGAATATTATTGAATAATCAATTACAATAAATAATCTATTTAATCTATTTAATATAATGTAATATAATATTATCAATTAATAATGTAATATGTTACTGTCCTATAAAACTCGAGTAAAACGATGACCATCTAAATTATTATGCAAAGCGTTGATATCCGATAAGGGTTAATATAACCATATGGGGATATAATAAATAAACGTGATAAATATTAACAAATTTTAAATATTAAATATTCCTAATAACTTATATTAAATATATATTATATACTTTATATTTGATACAATAGATTTTTAATATTTTCCTTTTAATTTTAATTTTTTCCAAATCGTATATAATGAACTTCTAAAAATAAAATATTATATTTATTTTATTATCTTTAACAAAATATATTTTAAAATTTAATTTTTAATTTAATTCTAAGATAAATTAAAAAAGATAAATTAATTAATATTATTTATTAAAATTAAATTATAATATCTTATACATACAGAATGTTAACATATTCATTATCTTTGAAGGTAGTTATAAGTAATTTAAATTTGCGCTAGAAAGGCAGACAAATGATGCAACACCGTATTGCAGTGTCAGTGTTGCGGTCGAGTTAATGAAAATTTAAAGATAAAATATTCGTATCAATTTAAATGCTCGATTAATTATCATGCAATGTAATATAATACGAAAAGGTTTGTCGTTATAAAAAAGAGAAATTAAACTTTTTTTTTATCGTGAAGTATTAAAGGTAAAAAATTTATGTAATTTATGACTTAACAAATATTTATCTGAAACAAAATACATTAATTATACGATAATTTCAAAACAAATCGTAGGATAATTTATTTAAAATTATAAAAAATGATAAACCATAATAGATGAAATAATAATTGAAATCATGATTTTCAAAATTTAAATCTAATCAACATTTAAAAAAAAAAATTTTTATATTAGATCTTTTTGATTTATTTTTGTAAATATTATTTATATATATATTATAATAATATATATATTTTTTATTATAATAATATATTTTTTATTATAATATTTTTAACTGTTAGTTAATAGTCTTTTATATAAAATTGCAAATGATGTATAAAATTGCAAATTATATTTTGAACATCATTGAATAATTTATTATCCTTTTTTATTATTCTTTTAATTAGTTTATTTAAAAAATATTATTTAATATTTATTGAACTTAATCATAATCTTAAATTTCATTTTTGATCATTTAGATGTTTTTCAATATTATGAGTTTTTCAAATATGAACGATAATTTAATTCCATTGAGGATAAATGTTTCTTTGTCATGATATCTTGCATGTTTAGTGCTTATCTCACTGTTATAAGCCTGTTTTATGGAACAAATATTACAATTTTTTTCTTATATTAAAACGTTAAACGTTTTCTTATATTAACGATTTCAATGATGTAGTTAATTATAATATTTAATATCTTTTATTCATCTATGATATTTTGTAAATCATTATTAAAAAATAACTAATAATATACAATACAATAATTAAATACAATAATTAATATATACAATATATATATTGTAAAAAATCGTTAAAGAATAAGATTTTCATATTATTTTTAATGTTAAAAAAATCAAATTATGTTTAAAAGTAATAATAAATCATATCAAAAACTAAATTTATAATGTTTTGAAAATGATAGCTTCTTATATGATGAACATAAATAATAATTTACATAATGTGGTAAATTAATAATAATTTACATTTATAATTTTTTTTATAATCAAATATTTTAAATATACCATTAAATGTTAATATACTATTAAAGTTATATAATTTATATTACGTTGATATGTATTCTAGGATAATTAATTATGCATCTTAAAATAATATGAATATATCGTCTTTAAACTTTATGTTAAAAGGTTAGACTAGATAAACGATACTATATTATATAATATATATATATTTTTCCGGTTAACTGAGATATTTCATTATTTCTATCTTATTTCATCTAATACAAAATTAAATCTTTTATAAATTTAAGAAATAAATATTCTCAAATATTTTTTACATATCAATTTCTATATAGATATATATAATATTTAACATATATAGATATTATAATATTTTTTTTTCCAAATATTTTTGATATTTAAAATTTCTTTCAAAAATATTTATTATGCATTTATTATGAAGAAAGAAAAATATTTTTTTACGAATTTTATTGAATTTTTATCTATTTTTCTTGGATTTGCTCGTTTCTTCTCTTGTATTATAGATAAATATGAAAAACATTAAATGCAATGATAAACCAAATAAAAATTTTATTTTTTATATTTTAATAACTCATCTAAAACTTGGAATATCAACAATTTCAAATCATAGATAACACTTCAGGAATTGAGAATAATTATGTGGCTATTAAACAGGGAATGTATAAACTGCCAAGAAAAAAAAGAGTTTTTGAGCGAAATAACAGCGGTTATTATTAAATTTTGACGTTTTAGCGGATGTGCACTTCGCTGATATGAACAAAAATGGACATGGAATCAAAAGTGGTTTAGGAACTTGCGCGTGCAACGATGTATTGCAATGCACTTGCAACGTGGATCGTTTTCGTATAAAAGATACTGAGAAGGGTAATAAAGAAAGAAAAGAATCAAAAGAAGAGAAGGAGGGAAAATTGCAAAATCAAGAAGATAAGATTGTTGTGACTGGCGCTCGAAAAGGTTTGTAGGTTTTTGATGAAATGAAAAATACAAACGAAATTTTATTGATAATTATTTTTTAATAATAAAAAAATTTTGCCTTTAAAAAATTTTTCAGATTTAATGGAAGAAATAATTTTCATAAAATTAATTTTTGAGATATTATAAGAACATCGAAGCATTTTTTTTAAATATATTTTTTAATTTTTCAATTCTTATTTTTATTATATTATCAAATAGAATATTTTCTTATAACCTCATATATAATAATTTTCATAATAAACAAATTAGAAATTTATTTATGATATAATCATTTTTTTTAATATATTCTAAATCTAATTCAATTTTTCTAATCTAAAATTACTTTAAAATTATTTAGATAATAAAAATATATAAAAATATATATAAATATATAATTTGCTTAACATAAAATTAAATTATTTTAAATTTTAATTATTTTACTGAACAATAATATCAAAATTTATAATATAATAAAAATAATATTTTTTGAATAGTTTGCAACAAAATTATAGTTTGCAATAGTTTGTAAAATTTATTAAAATTTTTTTATTAAATTTAATTTTTAATAATTTAAATATTACTATAGAAAGTAATTTTTATTCTACACTATTTGAAAACATGAATAAAAGGATTTTGATCCAATGTTTATTCTATTCTTATGTTGATCGATTTGCTTGGAATTTTCAGGATTAAAACCTGTTTCCTTTTTTTTATATAGCGTCTCATGGACCATGTGGACCTATTTGTATGATAGGCGTGATTGGAGGCAGTTTCTTCGTGTTGATAGTGATCATTGGTTCTTTCGTCACGTCGAGATACAGGTGAGTCATTATTCATAAACTAAGAAACAAAATAGAACATATGCTGAATTTTTATAAGTTTAAAGGAGAGTAAATTCAAGAAAATTTTATGTTTGTATAAAACGATACAAGAATATATATTTTTTTAAGTATATATATATATATATATAAGTATTATATATATTTTTATATATAATTATACATATATATTTAAATTATAATAAATTAAACGATAAATAACAAATGTATTTAAATATTAATTAATAATTCATTACGACACTTTTTATTACGTATTTCAAATGAATTATATACATTGTTTTATTAGTCCATGCAATTTAATTATAATATATATTCCACAAATAATGTCGTTTTAGAAGCGCAGTTTCATTTGTATTTATTAAAAAATTTTAATGTCGAATAAAATTATCGTGACTGCAATTTATAGTAGAATCAAATAGATAACATGCAACTTTAATGAATTAACAAACTATAAATATTCCATATAGCATTATATGTACAAAAGAAATTGGAATCGAAACGTGGTTAAAAGTGAAACGTTCGCATTAAACTGTTTGCAAATCGTGAAAGCAAAACGTGACAGCTGGTCAAATTCTAGATAACTCTCGAACGAGTCCTTTGTACGCGAGTTACATAGATCGTTCGATCAACAACTAAATAAACGGTCTCCGAAAGAAAGAGGAATCAGAATGTGAAGCCGATTCTCAGATAGGTACATATTTCGATAACGACATTCGATCAACGGGTCTGCTTATCGAGCTCTTTCCAGTCAAACGTTCCTTTTGTCGAAGTCGTAATTCCCCGTATTGATGTTACAGTAGGATAACACAACTTCCATCGAACTATCGTCGTCGAAACGAGCGAATATAAACGTATTTACGCATATGAAACAGCGCATATGAAATTGAAAAAGTTTCCTCATCGTATGCTTGCACTTATCTTTTTAGAAAAGCTTGCCAACTAGTGATGGAATTTGAAACATCTCGATTCATTTCGAAACTGTATCGTGTACAAAATATTTCAATTAATTTGATTAATTTGAGAAATATTAAACGATATATTTTATAAAATTGTGAAATTTAAAATGATAATAATTATGCAGAAAAAGAATTATTGTTTTCGATAATCTTTTGATTAATTCTCAGTATCCTATTTTGGCAATTTTTTCTTATATATTATCACTATGTTATCGTTCTTCGGCTTTAATTTAGGAGTTATAAAATATAAAATATAAAATATAATATATAAAATATAAAATATAAAATATAAAAAATAAAATATGTTAAGTAGAATTATATTTAATATTTCAAATGGATTTGATTTAGGATTACATTACATTTATCTAAAATTAACTTAAATTTAAATTAAATTCAATAGTCTAAATTCAAATATAATTAATTAAATAATTCAATAATTATTTAGTTGCATTGTTTTTAATAAATGTAGTTTTTAATAAATATTTAGTAAATATAATAAATTTAGTAATATTGATTTGTGTAATAATTGAATATTGTAATATTAATCAACAAATAATTGAATATTATAATATCAATTTGAAAAATAAAATTTCTATTTAATATCTCTGATATTAAAAGTTGGAAAGATTCTGAATAATTTACTTGAATTATATAATTTATTCAAAAAAGAAACAAATTATAAATAGATAATTATAATAGATAATTATAAATAGATAATTATAAATAGATAATATATTACATGGTATATTATAAAACGATTATTTTGAAGTAATATCAGTTTATAAAAAATTTTTAAAAATTTATAGAATTTGATATTTTTAAACTTTATAACAATATTATATAATATAAATTATAGTTTGAAATATATTTTGAAACATGATATATTTTCTACATATTATTATAATTAAATATGTTAATTTATTTTAGCTGTATAAAAATCCATAGTATTATTATTAGATTTTATAATATAGACTTTATAATATATTTAAAGAATAAGAAAAAAGAAATGAAATACAGAAAAAAGATTTTAATAATTTTGACAAAAAAAAATTTATTGAATTTTAAAAATTTTTTCAAATAGAAACATATAATTCAAATAGAACATATAATTATATTCGAAATAACTCAAAACTTAAAAATTTTGAAATAAAAATTTTAAAATTATTGAAAGTCTTGAAATGCTATTTCAAAGATTACCAATATTCAAATAAATATCTTGTTATTTTTAATACAAAGGAATTTAAAATTGAAAATTTCATTATTACTGTCAGCAAATATTATAACAAATAAAAGTTTAATCTTCTCTTTTTTATTCCCGATAAATAGAAATTAATTTTAGAATATTTTCCTTTTAGACTAGCTGCAAAAGAAGCTCGACGAGAGGGAAAACGAAGAGTCGATGGTGATTCAAATGTTGTTGGCATACTATCCTCGGACTATATTGACAGAGGAGATGGTTTGCTTATCGGCTTGGACACCTTTACTGCGGCGAGTCGCCATCTTCTTCTTCCTAAAATGTCTCCGGTAAGTTCTCTCTTTCGTTCATTTTTACGATTTAATCTCGATTAATCCATCTTCATAATCCTAATCATTTATTCGATTATTAATGAAAATATATCAAAATGAAAGACTTTGAAAAAACGATTCCTATAGACTTAATATATAATTCTTTGCGGTCAATTAGTTGTCAGCCATTAGAATATTCTTCAATCGTATTTTTTACTTTCAACTTTTCGAACGTTACGATTCGTCACTGAAAAAAATTCCAAGAAGATCTTTCAGTAGAATTAATCATATTCAGTTAATTAATTCATAAAACAATTTTAAAGGATATAAATTTTAAAAATCAAAATAAATATATATATAAAATTAATATATAAAAATGTTAATTGAAATTTATTATAGTTAAATTAGCGTAGTTAAATAAGTAATTTAAATTTCTGTTAAATGAGGCGGAGATAGAATGATATTTTTAGCATTTCATTACTTCGCTGACTTATTCTGTTTCTATTTTATTTTCTCTGAAAATTTAATTTGTCTATATTGCAAATTTTCAGAAATATATCTTGATATGCAACTATTATTTTATATATAGTATACATTTTGCATATTTTACTCAAAAAGTATACATACACATACATATACAATTAATAATTAATATATATACATATATTTATACATAATCTAATCTAATTAAAATATGTAGATATTTAAAATAGAATAAAACAGAAAAAAGTTAT